TAATCTTCGTTTATCATTTTAAATGTACTCTATTAGGTAAAGTTAAAAAAACATAGATTGGTTAATAAATTCATAGGATTTAGGTTCTCGGAAAATATTAGTACAATACTTACCTGATCGCAGAATCATTCAATACTGCGAAATCGTGAAGCAATGCATGTTCCCATGGACATCCATCGATCGTTCATTTAACATATCCTTCGAGGATACATTTCCCGCGCAAAATAATTCATGCACCGTTTAATATGCATTTCCGGTAAATCGTTTCCTTTTTCCCCCAAAGAACCGTTTGTTGTTTGTGATAACAAAGATTCGCCCCTCGAAGTTTCAAGAATAGAGTAGAGAAATTTCTTAAAACAACGAAATCTACGTAACATCTTGTCATAGTAAATAACACCGGTCCGAGGACGTCGAACGAACCACTATACACTGAAACGATTACTTAACACTTGTCACTTAGAATTTCCATTGTTGTTGTTATTTATGTGTAGTTTGATTTTGAACGCCACGTTTGTTTCAGCAAATAATGTGTCTTTGCGTCGTCTGGCGGTTTATTCGGTTCGACGAAAGCGTGGATTTCACTTTGGGAATTAGCCGTGGTCGAGGGTCGACATTTTCGAGGGTTGTGGAAGAACGCAACACTTCACGTGGCCGCGAACGTCGCGCATATGAAGGGGTTCATCCGTTCAACCCCCAACACCAACGTCGTGCGTTGGTGTCACGTGTACGCCGCGTCACACTAACCACCCCCACCACAGGATGCTGAAGGTGCATCCACCTTTCCTCCGAGATCGCTGATCTTCATTGGGAGATATCCAAAATGATATTAATAGTAATAATTTATTCAGAATTTAATTAGAATTTATAGAGCTTGTTCTAAAACACAATTTAACCACCATTTATCGAGTATATCAACCTTTATTTTGTATTTAAACTATACGTCGAAATAAAACACATTGACTGCCAGTTATTTTACGAGGCTACGATTTTTTATCTATAATATAATTCATTTATTTCATATATCAATTGCTTGTTTTTAAATTGCAAAAAATTAGAAATTCAGGTTTCAATGTGTGCGCGAAGAAACTGCCAGTTATCGATGTAATACAGAAAGGTAGCGTACCTTCGATGAGTCAGGACTTGAAAAGTCGGGGTACTAGTACGTACACAACCCCTAATAAGAAGGGTTCTCTAACGCAGGGGTTGCGTGATTGGTTTAAAACGGAGAGCAAGTTTCACCAATAGACATCTCGCGCCTATTTTTTATTGTTAATCACCGGTTCTGGACGAGATAAGGCCTACATATGTATATGATTTCATATGACGAAGCACGTTCATAAATAATATCAATGCTAATAATAGTGGGGATTTGATTACAGTCTAAATATAACACATTGACGCTATTTTATTATCTTTTTTTTTTAAGTTTGATTGCAATCACGAAATAAAAATTTTAATTAGAAGTAAAGTACGTATTGTAAATATTTTGTAACGTGTTTTAAAGGCATATAAAACTTTGGATATACTGTGTAAATAATTTCAACATGAAAATTTAGTACTACAATTAACATACGTATGCTTTAGTTTCTAACGTTTCGACTCGTGCCTTTCATGTCATCTTAAAAAAAAACGTAATTATGTAAGATGCAAATGGAATTGAAGTGATACACATTTAAAGGAAAATGTCAGAGCAAAAGTGAAATAGAAAGTATTACAAATGAATATTTTGCCAGCTATTAATAATTGATATTATCAAATATTTGAATACACTAACGATTTACTGTGTTTGGAATAATAAAACATTTCGGGATTAACGATTCTAACGAAATGAGGATGTTTGGTGAACTGTTATGGCGTATCGAGCTTGCGGTACGTACACACAAAGGGCCATGCATGCAAATTGCGCGTAGAATGAATGCATCGCCGCGAGTGTATACAGTGGCGTTACAGGATCGGAACTAGTAACAGTATAGCCCTAGGAAATAATGATTATTTATCATTTACTGGAACGTGTTGCGTAAAAAATTGCGGGACCCTAGTGTACGAACAAATCTGCGACACCCTTTATGGAAAGATTGAGAGCCTGATGCATATTCGTTGGATAATGTCTGACGCTACACGCACGCCACTTATAAAGAACCGCTAATTTTGATTTATTTTTAGTCTCTGGAAAGGAAATTTGATTATCTCATAAGAATTGTTCATTTCGCTACGTTATGTTTAATTACAGCCACTATTTATAAAAGAAAGTAATATCAGGAGAGAAGAGGAACGAATCTGTAACAGGATTTGCAATCTGAAAACAGAACAGAAGTTGTATATCGATCAAAGAATGAAATAAAATTTATATATTCATGAAAGCAACAAATACAGACAAAACTATTACATATAGAATTTCAACTTTCGAATAAAGAAAAATGATTTTAGTAGAGTTGAAGAAATAACATTAAAAAATAGATCTATCTTGCTATAATCACGTAGAACATAACTAACAGTCAAATATATACATTAATTGAATGCAAGAAGTATGAAAGGCATAGGTCGATTCTTGGACCTATTCCAAACACTAGCCATACTGGAAGACAATAAGAATATCGTTGAATTCTTCAACCCCCTAAGGGCGGAGCATTTCGAAGCCAAGCAATCGTCGTTAGAAAGAAACGAACACAAATACAGTACAAGTAAATAAAATCGAGTTTACTATAATTGCTATTTTACTTTTGAAGCATACGTATGAATATGCATCTATGGCAAATGAAATAAGGTAAAAAATTTGCTAAGCACGTACATTCATCGTCCCCCAAGGGCTGAGAATACGAAACGATCGAATATGCTTTAACAAACCTAAAACATAAAATGAAGTTTTTTAAACCGCAACAAGTTGCTAATAGCCAGCAGTAATGAATGCGGCTATAATTATATATAATTGGCCAAAAGAAAAACGAAGATAATTAGAGTCGACTACGTTTCTTATATGCATAGTTTTAAAATGCACTTGTTCTCGTTCAGTAAATTTCAATGCTAAACGAATGACTGTTTCTATTCATTAAGTATTGCTACGTTACTGATTCTTGCTGGAAACGCCACTAGGTTATTCCGCAGGCAGTCTGGGCCAGTGAAGGATTGAAAAGGAGCGGCACAGGGGAGTGACTCGAACACTGACCAGTCGCTTATATAGCCACCGAAGATTAGCATAAAGTTACACGCGAGGCTGACGTTCAGGAACACGATAAGGGAGTACGTGCCCTGTTTCCACGGCTTCTTACCTTCCAACCTACAACCGACTGTGCGTATTGCTTCAATCATAATTCTGACTCGCTTGTTTTCTGTGTAATACGCTCTGTGTACATAGTCTGGCCGAAGTCGAGTTACGATCACAAATGGGCCAATTTTTCGTGCTAAAATAAACCAAAAACGCATAATAAAATTCCCTCATACGAAGCTTTATTTTTCTTTAAATTAATTTAATTATACTTCAGACATTTTTTATACGATTTTTAAATTTGGAAGGTTTGATTTTCTGTATTTTTCAGTGTTTTGCGAAACAAGTAGTTTCAAAATTCTGTATTTACGGACATCTGCGCGTGGCTTTTGCTTTACTTCGATCATTTTATTGCACCATGAATTATTGATATTTCGATGAAAATAATCGCTTTTGGTTTAATATAACCGTAAGTAAAAACAATTTGATTGCACAATAAATGTGTTTGAAGCCATAGAAACGATAGAAATGTACAGACTTGACTCGCAAAGCACGGTTAAAGCTATTAAAAATGTGTATCAATTTGCTGTGATTGATATAAAATATCTACGTCTTTCTAAGCATATTTCTCGAGTACGAGTGTGCGTGTGTCGCTGCGCGTTCAGCCCCTTGGCATTTAACCCCTTGTCGCATGGCGTGCCGTATACGACCCATGCCAACTATTTTATTCTAATTTTTGTCCTTTATTATTCAAAGATAATTTAGTGCACGTTACGACCCATCTGTTGTATAGACAGACGATAACAAAACATGTTATAGTATCGAGATAAACATATTAACCCTTTCTAACAAGTCCCTGGCCAATTCAGATGTTTCCACTCGCACACTATGGCTTTTCTATACTTATTTATTGTTTATTTATATTAACATATAGCCAGCAGTTTGTATAGTTGAGTACACAGGTTTATGAAATTACTTGTTTTACATACACCTAGATAAAAAGCTAAAAGAAGCTCTACATTTTTCTGGTAGACCATCCGTAAATTTGAATTAAATATAAAATATTGCTGTAAAACTTACACAGTGGAACCTATAGGCGAAGGAGAACCTTGGGTGTGATTGACCCATCGAGGCCAGCTATACGTCCAGCTAATTTCCATTTTAACAATGGATTCTTCGCTTACCGGTATTTCGTTTCACGATATTATCTACACAGGCTGTCCACCTCGCGATAGTTACTACTCTTTCTTATTAAAGAAAAAGGATTCCATCGCAAAGGTTTTAATTACGATTTTATTCGTGATAAGTTTCGTCGTGTGTAATAGTACGTGATTAGTAGAACTCCAGCATGATTATACCGGAGATTTATTTACGGCATTGTAGAATATACTTATAAAGTGTTTTACTGTAGTCCGAATATTTTTTAAAATGCAGTAGTTAAATATTATTTAAAAAACCGCTGACTTAAGGAATTCTAATAAACTTGAATGTGATGAGAAACTAATTTTTATTTCAAATCGTAATTGTTAGAAATATTGCAGAACTACCGTGTATAAACAACTTTTAGAATACGCATCGAAGTCAACAATAAATAATCGTTTATCGTTACCAAAAGAAAAGAATTCTGAACATTATCGAATTATTGTTTATTTCTCAGAAAAATATACAAAGGTGTACAAAACATTCTAACACAGGGGTTAGTGTGCAGAGATCATCAATATGCAATTGCTTCATATATCGACCGTAGTCAATTTTTTACGCATCTAAAAACGAGATTCGTTGGAATAATCATTTGGCTTTATTTCATATTCGATGTAGAGCATGAGTTATAGATAATAAAATTCTGATAGTATATAATATTTAATGATATTTAAATTTATTATAAAATAAATATTAAATATTTCTATCGTTTGTACGATGTGTGACTATTTACACGATCACTTCTAAATTTACAGTTCTCTTACGAGTGTACGGATATTAGCACTTAAAGAAATGTATTTGTCGGAAGTGTTGCCCATCCTTGTTCGATTACAGTTCTGTCGTTTCGATTTTCTTGCCTAAAGGATTGACAATCGTGTTGTGTGTTCGATGTAGCGACGAGTTTCGATGGAAGTTGTTTGGAATGTTTGCAATGTTCGCGAGGCTTTCTAAGCTGAAATAATATTTTTTGTTATTCATCATAGTACACTTTTAAGATACGCCAAATCATTTGTGAAGAAAAATGTGTTTACCTTGAAATGGATGAGACTCTTGGCTCGATATAATATGGTTTATCTTCATGTCTTTGGTTTGTGTTTACTTCGTTCATCAATTCTTCGTTGTTCAGTGCATTCTCATCGAGAGAATCCCTCTCGGACGTGTGACTCACGGATTCGTCGCTTTTGAACCACTCATTCTCGTAAGCATGCATCCATATTGGATTAGAACCTTCCACACTATGTTTATTCGTGTTAGGAACGCGTCCTGGTCCTCTAATAAATTCTGCATCCGAAGTACCTTGACAGAGAAACGGTGTTCACCGATTATAAATACGAATAATTGCTTGTTTTATTTTATCGTTTGAGATTTGTTCATTTGCCAGTACAATTTACAGTTTTAATTGTCATTTTAAGCACAGTTTTGTCTCAAAATCTCACGTTAATAGACGAATTTGAATATATCACGAAGAAAATATATTTGTAAGCGATAGGTTTTATTCTGTTACCAAAATTTTGAACATTATGCTTGACACTTACCGAAAGGAGAGGCGTTCGCTGCTTTCAGCTGCCTTCGAAACGAGGCCCTTTGCGAAAGGCACAACGCTATGCACAAAATTAGCAAAGCTCCCAGAAACAGGGTCAAAGTCAGTAGCCAAAAAGTCGTCCCTGCTTGCTCGTACTGAACAATTGGCTGATACTGTGCCGCTTGCGTGTCGAGAACGTTGAATTCCTTGAACAAACTATCGAGCTTCTCAATATTTCTGTCGACTAATTCGAGAACCTCGGACACTTCGAGGATGGAGTTGTCACGGCGATTTACTAGATGCAAGTACAAGTCCGTTTTCGTCCGATCGACCGAACCGTCGTGATTCTCGTGGGTTTTGTATTCGTCGATATTGACTATCGCGCCGGTCACGTTGCCCAGTGTCCTGAAAGTTCGAATTATTAATTGTGAGCAAATAATGATAATAATTAATTCTGTGTTCACTTTGTCTAGAACTAATATAAATGGGAATTGTTCCTTTGGATAAGAAAAAATTATTTAAATTCCATTGACAATTTCATAAATAAAATTTTTCATATTTACTCTCTGAACGTTTCTATTCGATTCCGAATTTCCGGTGGATGCTGTCGCAGCACGAAACGAACTCTTTGGTCCTCTCGTAATAAATATATAAATACCCTTGCAGAATCTTGCAAACCGTGCGTATCGTTGGCTATGACCTATTTGAATTGATTAATCAAAATTTATTTTTTTCAATAATATTAAATGTGTTTTATTAAAATCGATTCAACGTACCATAAAGTCAAAGTATCCTTTCATTCCTCTTTGGGGATCAAAATTTAGGCTCACTACTCCAGTGAGTTTGTTAACGAGAAAAGGTTGTAATTGAATATCGTCCAGTCCCTCAGTTAAAGTCATGTGCATTTTGCCAATTTGGTAATAATTAATTACTGCGTTCTCGCCTGCATCTAGATCGATTGCCTAGAACAGTCATACGAATTTTATTGCTTGATACAGCTGATATAAATTATTTTCAAAATATATATTCTATTCAAATTATTTATACCAGTCATTTCTAGTCACTTTTATTATATTTAAAATTTTATTAAAATGTTGTTGATGTCAAGAGTATTAACAATTTAGTTACTAGTGCTTGATATTCATTTTTTTTGGAAATAACTTTGTAAGAATAATGTTTTACCTGTACGTGCATAAACTGCGTGCCAAAGTCAGCTTCTGTAGTAACGCCTCCCGTGAATATTTTACTAACAAACTTCGGTGGATTATCGTTTACATCGATTATGTCTATAATGACTTTTAAAGTAGTATCGTCGGCAGTTTCGTCGTAAAAACTCTCGTTCGCTGGAATTGTATTGCAGTCTTCCGTCGCTTTTATAATTAACAAGTGTTGCTGCTGTTGTTCTCTATCCAAAAATTTGGCGGTCTGAAAATATTTACCAAAATAAAATATAGATTTCAGTGATCCTAGCTCTAAATAAATTTTAAACATTAAAATGTGTATATTTATCATTAAATTCTTTAGAGTAAGTATTTCTCTATGTATCGTTTCTTTTGTATTTATTAAAACTCACGCTCAATTCGTGTTTGAAAATATCGAGGGCGAATAATCCATCTTCGTTTCCGCTGACTATAAAGTAACAGACTTGTGCAGGGGGATCGTCGAGATCGTCGACTTCGTCTCTATCCACAGTCTGCGGAAGTAAAACCATTTCCGATCCGGGAAGTTGTTCTTCCGTGAAGTTAGTGTTGAAAATATCCACCAAAAATTGTGGCTCGTAGTCGTTGATGTTCCGAACGTAAATTATTAGATCTAGATCCGAACTTAGAGGGGTCGGAGTACCTAGATCGTATGCTTCCACTCTGATCTGCGTACGAATTATATTTTTGTTGAGTGAATGTTGTTTTATGGGAGAAAAGTTAGATAAAAAAGATTTTTAGACACCAGAAGATATTAGTTCAATACTTCTATTCACATTTTATTCTTGTGTGTTTAAAGTACCTCGTATAATTTTTGAATTTCCCTATCCAGTGGAAGTTTCAATGAAATAATTCCGGTTCTATCGTCGATGTGAAAAGTTCTCCAATGGCCAGCCAAATCTTGCTTCAGGCGGTAATGAACGTCACCGTTTGGACCAGTGTCAGCATCATGGGCTTCAATTTGAATAATTTGCGTCCCAACTGTTACGTTCTGTAAATCATTTCATTTGTAATAATACGAATACAGATCGTAGTTTACTTATTTCTGGCTAATTTAGGCGTGAATGGTCAATAATCACCTCTGGTACCCGGATCGTTGTGTTATGTTGCGGACTAATAAACATTGGTGGATTGTCGTTGTAATCTGTGACGCAAATATTTAGAACTGACGTGTCTTTGTTAGCGGGACTACCGAGATCTCGTACTTCCAAAGGCAATGAATAATTTCCGAATTTCCCTCGAAGCGAGTGAACCGCTTTTAGATTCGCGGTCCAATAATCTTTCTGCTCTAGGATGAATAAACCTAGAGCATAAATAAATTTACATTACTCATTTGCAGCTTCTGTAGATACGAAGCTTCGCGATAGTTAATTTATAAAGTAAAGAAGCTGTTGTTGTACAAAATTGTTTGCACAAACCTAGTTCGTTTCCAGAAAGGATTCTAATCTTCACGCGACCATTGGGAGTCGTTGGATCGTCGACGTCTTTTGCTTTAATTACAAAAATTAAGTCTTTGACGTCATGGAACTCCGATATAGTGATGCATGTTGCAGGTATGTCCATTTTCGGTGGATTGTCATTAACATCTGTTACTGTGACTCTTTAAAAATGTGATTTTTATTTTTTTTCAATTCATTTCTTAATGTATTTAACACTAAAAAATGACGTTTCAATATTCTGAATTAGAAATTGTAGAATTAGAATACTAATATACAATAAAATGCATCGTTGTACTTATGAAAACACTGAACAGGATAAATTTGTTTATATCATACGACTCTTTTCTTTGTCATTTTTTTTATCTTCAAACAAAACAGAAATCGTTTTAAAATTGGCATCGTAGTTGATCAAGCTATTTTGGTTTAATTCGTAGTATAGTAATTATGACAATTTATCTTTCCAGAGTAATATTTTCTGTCTCAAATCATAAAAACAATTTAACTTACTGGATTTGTTTGAAGGCGTTTCTCGATTCTCCAGCTGTGTAACCGAACTGATAGTTATCCCACGCCTCTATGACTAGAATATAATTTTGTTTAGTTTCCCAATCGATAGAATCAGCTACAGTTAGAGCACCACATTCAGGATGAATAGCGAAAGTTCCCTGTACCAAAAAACGATTTCTCACTTTATTTAATAATTTATTTAATCCTGTGTGGACGCCACAAGTCTTTTTAAGCAAAGTTGATTTTAAGTAAAAATTAATTTTCTGCATTCTTTTGTTTACATTTGCATACATAAAAAATAATAAACAATTTGATCAATATTATCATTGTAATACATTCTTAAGATGTCAGAGGTAATACCTGAATTTTTTCAAAATTCTTAAAACACTTCAATTGGTTAAAGAACAAAGGTGTCCCCGCAGGGTTAAATTGTTACTGTTTACGTTAGTTTTTAGAATTTATTAGGATTTCAGTGGAAAAAAATTTAATGAGAACTAATAATTCTATTTCTTACTTGAGATGACATTCTATCCAGTAAATACGTGATTTTTCCATAATCACCACTATCAGGATCTTTAGCTTGAATAACAGCAATCTCTGTGCCAATCTTAGCATTTTCCATGACAGTTAAATTAGTGATATCGGTCACAAAATATGGATTGTTGTCATTTTCATCCAATACTTGGACATATACGTCTGAGAGACTTGATCTATAAATGGAATTTGTCATAATAACAGAAATGTTGCTTTAGATTTTCCTTTTCTGTACTGATTATATTTTTTCTCATAAATTTAAATAGTAGTTGCGTGATATGCGGTACATTTGAATAAAGTGATGTAAAATTTAAGAACATTGCTGTCATTTTAAACTATGTTTTCATGGATGTACGTTTTAACAAATTGAAAGGCTGGCTATTCAAAAATTGATTTTACCTTGGCGGTATTCCTGAATCAGTGGCTCTGACGGTTAGATTAAGCCAGGAATATTGCTCCCGATCAATTTTATTTGCGACAACCATTTCCCCAGTTTCAGAATCAAGATGTACTAAATCTGCCAATTCCTTTGGACTCTCTAAAGAATACGTAATGCTACGATTTTTATCGGCGTCGTCAGCCACAATGTTGGCAATATTAACACCATTTTTACTGTTCTCCGTCACTGACCGTCTATAAAATGGCCTTCTGAACCTCGGATTGTTATCATTTTCATCCTCGATTATGATGTTCAGCATAGCTAAAATTTATATCAAAATCATTTCATTGTACATTTATTCTATTGTAATTATTTTTTTATTTTATTTTATTTAAGGGCGCATTAACAGGTCATGGTCATCGATAGTTTATACATTCTTATTTTAGATCATGTTATATACCTTAAAATCCTTTAAGTTTCATTATGTTTTCAATTGAGTTCATTACCTTGCTTATATCATTTTTAATTTTGTGTCTTGCATAAATTATGAATGAAAATGTAATATATGAAGGGGAATAGCTTTCAAATCTTGACAAGTCGTATTATAAAGAGGGGCATAATGACGTTGCTCTATCATTGGATCAAATACATTAGTCATAAAGTAGATAGTAGCTTGAAATATTAAATAGAAAACGAAAAAATAATTATTTTCTATCGAGAATATTTCTTACTAACCGAATGCAGTTTGTACACCTTTAATTGCCGCCAAATCTTCGACGACAAGACCCAATCGTATCGTTTCCACTCTTTCTCTGTCAATCAGTTTGACTACTCGTAGCAAGCCATCGAGTGCGTTTAATTCTAACGCGGACAAATAATCGTATTCTTGAATTTTAATTAGCGTTCCTTCTTCGTTCCTTGCCTCGGATGAGTTCGGATCGATGCGATATCGCAGAATCGGTGCTATGTCTGGATCATTGGCAATAACACGGTGTACATACGCTCCAACCTGATAAATAAATGATTCAAATACGGAGACCAAATGAGCAAAACGAAAAAAGTTAAACACAATAGTTAACAGAAACATTATGTTCTTAACAGATTATTACACCATTATAATTGCTTGTACGTTATTTAGATTTTATATTTATATTAGATTAGAGTATTATAGCACATAAAATGCACAATTAGCATGTATACATACCTGAGTGTTTTCGCGAATAGTAACTGTACCGGGTTCAATGAAAATCGGTGGTTTATTATTAACGTCTACAATGGTGATATTGACAAGAACTTCAGCCGTTCTTTGAATTTCTGTTCCACTGTCTATCGCGAGAACATTCAAACTGTATCTCGTAGTTTTTGGTGAAGTGAGATCCGGATCTAAATTAGAGCCAGGAGCAACCCTAATCACGCCTGTCTCCGGACTAATGACGAACTTGTCGCCTGCACCGCTTTGAATTCTGTAAACTAGTTTGTTGTTTGGCGATGATAGATCTTTGTCCCAAGCTTTAACCTGCAACAAAGATCTTTTGTTACTGTATTAATTACTAAAATGATGTTGGATGATCTTAACTGATACAGGTGGTTGTTTTCGTTGTTTCGAAGGCTGAAATGTTTCTTTCATTTGTAAAAAAATTTTTTTTGCTAGAAGAATGTGATTTTATTGAAAAAAAATAAGAAAGAAATTAATATGATGGAAATATATTAATGTCTTCCTTAAAACGTTTTATGTTACAACAAATTTGGAGACTACGTATAACCTATGTTTGTATAACATTTTTAAGTTGTTTTAATATACAGGGTGTTCGGCCACCTCTAGCAAAAATTTTAATGAGCGATAGTAGAGGCCAAAATAAGACAAAAATCAAGAATACCAATTTGTTGATGGAAGCTTCGTTAAAAAGTTATTAACGTTTAAAGTGTCGCCCTTACTGAATTTTTTTCTCGAAAATGCGCAAGATTTCGGGGGTATGTCTATTCACCAAAAATGACTGTAATTGAACCCTACAACCGAAAATAATTTTTCCACAACGATTTGCAATTTTTTAATTTTCTCGATTAATTTCACACCTTCTCTATTTTTTTTCTCGAAAGTGGGCTGGATTTCGTGGGTATGTCTAATGACAAAAACTGATTGTAATTGACCCCCGCAACCGAAAATAATTTTTCCACAACGATTTGCAATTTTTTTTCACCGTTGAAAAATTTAGGCACCTAATTGGATTTTCAGTAAGGAATTTTTTTCTCGAAAGTGCGTACGATTTCGGAGATATGTGTAATGATAAAAAATGATTGTAATTGATCCCCGCAACCGAAAATAATTTTTTTAGAACGATTTGAAATTTTTGAATTTAATTGTTAATAACTTTTTAACGAAGCTACCATCAACAAATTAGTATTCTTGATTTTCGTCTTATTTTGGCCTCTACTATCGCTCATTAAAATTTTTGCTAGAGGTGGCCGAACACCCTGTATACATATATTCACTTTGTGAATTATCGTTTTACATTTATGGAACATCTTGTACAGTCTTGTCTCTATAATTGTCTTGGTTTTTTGTCTCGTTAGCTGTCGTAGAGTTATGGCCACTTCCTGGAACTCCGCGTTACCTACGACCCATAATCTATGCTCGGCAGAACAAGTATAGTGACTCTCGAAAACACAGCGGGGAGCCAAGATGATAATCCATAAATTATTATTTAAGAACCACGCCCATGGAAATTTTACATAAATGCTCGGAAAGAAGAACAACAAAAACGTTATACAAGCCTACCTTTTTTTTTATATAGAAAGATGTTCTTTTAGACTTTACATACATTTAACGCAATAATATTCAGTTCTATTTGATAACAAAAATTATATGTTATATTTTTCTATCGTTATATGCACACTTTATTAAATATTTTATGCAGCAAAAGTGGTGTAATTACACTTATAACAAAAGTCGTAAAATCTAATCGAATCCTGTGTATTTTTGAAGCGTATATAACTATTTTAACTACGATGGTTGAGAGTAGACATACGACCAGAACGATAAAAGCACTTGACTGGCTAAGAGCAGGCATACTACCTCAAAGGATTAATGATAGCAATATTTTACTATACTAGTTGCGCATAAAATTATAATTTTCTTCTAATATTACCTGAACTATGCTGGTACCACCAGCCAAGTCTTCAGGAATGCTTCTTTTGTATAATGTTCTCTCAAAGGCAGGTGCATTATCGTTAATATCCTTTAAATAAATTATTAATGGTGCGTTGGAGCTCAAACTCGGTGTGCCCGCGTCTCTGGCTCGTACTGTCAGTCTCAGCGGACGCACCGATGTCTCTTTGTGCCCTTGACTTATAGGCAATGCTTCATAATCCAAAGGTGTCGTTGGAATGATTATACCTCGCTTTGGATCGATGCTAAAGTTCCGCGAAAATTCACCCGCAACTATAGCATAGATCACTTCGCTGTTCTTAGTACCTAGAGAAAGTTTAGTAAAATTAATCTTCATACTTTCTCGACCGTTTTAGAACACTCATATTTCATTCTTGATAAAAGTAGTTGTGATAAATTTAAAACTTGTTTAAAAACGAATTGTAACGAGAAAACACAATGTACTGATAGTTCAACAGCCGCTTTTCTTAAGATCAAGATAACTAATACAGAAATATATTTTTATATCTACAATTTAGTAAATAATCGAGTAGAATGCAAACCATTTAAATCGATGTCAAAGGCTTCGACGATCAATGGCGATTCGAAATGATCTTCGTTTTCCAAAAGCACAGCCTCGTATTTGTTTTGCAGAAACACGGGGGCGTTATCGTTGACGTCATTAATATTCACAATTAATTGGACCGTATTTTGATTACCTTTGCCCAGATCGTCTCTTGCCTCGATAGTTAAATAATGTCGAGCCACTAGTTCTCGATCAAAACTCAAACCCGCTATTTTAACCGTGATCACACCAGTCAAAGGATCCATTGATAGTCTACAATTAAAGAAACTTAGTATTTCTGTTTTGAATAAAATTTGCACTATTCTCAAATCATGTAGTATTTCCAACTCGTTAGCTTACGCATGGGCAATACTGCCTCCCAAATACGTGTATCTGATTCCACGAGTTCCAAAATTGCCACTATCCTCGTCTAATGCTTGAACCCATGCCACTGTGGTTCCTGCAGCGCAATTTTCTGGAATCGATACCTCGTACGAGTTTTCGGTGAATTCCGGGTAATTGTCGTTTTGATCTTTTATGAATACAGTCACTGGAACCATGCTGTATTTTGGCGCTACTGATACTACTTCCTTGGCGATTAACGTAAAATTTATCTCTGAAAATATAAAATTAAAATTAAAATCATATGTATTGGTGATGGTTATATCATGATTAAAGAAAAAGTGTTATTTTACTCTTAACTAGTCTTTCTTTGGCGTTGCTTAAAGATTTCAATACCTTTTTTCGTTTCAAAATCCAATTTGCTAGAATTCTTGACGCGTATCAGAAAAGGAGCTTCGTTGATTCCTCTAAATGGCGTCACGTCGAACATTCCGTCGTCACCTTCGATGAATATTCTAAAAGTACCATTTGATCCCTGAAAAATTGTTTCATTGGATTATTCTAAATTAATAATTCGTATAGTGGCAATAATTATATTATTGCGTTTACGGGTATTGATGAAACTTCGTGCTCTATAAATGTTTCTTACAAGTTTTACAAACGTCCCGTGAAATTCTTTAACGTTCGTTTCTCACCAAGTCGTGATCGTAAACTTCCGGTATCGCATCTCCGATGAAATTAACCGGTGTATTGTGCGGTGCATTTTCATTTATCTCAGCACGGTATCGCGTACTTCGGAACTTCGGAGTCTCATCGTTAACGTCCGTAAGAATGATAGTAACTTCGGTGGAGACCGACGGCGCAGGTATTATTTTCGACACTTCCTTCACGGTGATTTCCAAGACAAAGGCGCCTTCCGCATTTTCTTCCGCTTCTCTATCAAGTTGCGCCCTGGTGAACACCAGACCGGAAGTCGCGTCTATATCGAATAAGTATCTCGGCCCTCGGGTGATGCTGTAAGTCACTTTATTGTTTACTCCCTTGTCGCCGTCTACCGCTCGTACTGCAAAACGTTTGAAAATTTAATTTGTTAACCTTTACGAATATTCTTCATAATTTATTTTTAATGATTTTATTCGTCGAGCAAAAATAAAAGTTTTCAATGAAAAAAGTAGAAACTGTATATTTAAGCCACGAAAATAATTAAAAATAGAGCTTAAACGGTCGAAAACTATTATTTTATTAGCAACTGAATATTGAATACCACAGATTTCTACTTTACAGTCTGCTGACACTTTGGCCACAAACACAGTCTATGGAAATTGCAAATAAAACGGTGACAATGATGAATGGGGAACGCAATATCCCACTACACTATGGTATTCCAGGGTTAAATGACATGTGTAGTTTTCAGTAGTAGTGATTAGGCGGACCTTGTAGAACGGACGTGCCTATCCGGGCATTTTCACTGATCCTGGCAACAGGCGTCATGGTTATGAATTCAGGCGGTTGATCCTCGACGTCTTGAACCTTAACGAGTATCGCGGTTGTTCCTGTATTTACCTGAAATAATTACGAGCAGATTTGGAGATAAATCGACAGACATTCCACCAGATTTTTATCCCCAAATAGTCTGTAATTCATTTTAATTATCCTCGCTAAAAATTTAATTCTCAAACACTTGAATGTGATGCTAATTTATTCCGAACGTGTTTATCGTACTCCAACACACGTTTATCGTGCAGGTACAAGGTTCTTTTCTATCACAAACGTAACTTTTGTATGGGGGTTCTATCTTGAATAGAATGTAAACAGTACCCTTATATTCAAAGCGGGAAATTTTAATAGATAATTCTTTAAAGAATTAAGGAAGCTCGAATGCTAGGGACAAACCTTTTCGTTTATTGCTCGATCGATCGCTAAAATTCTCAACTGGTACAAATATTTCCTTTCATAATCCAAACGACCGACGAGACGGATGACACCTTTTCCATTGACAGTCGCGATGCTGAACACGTCATTGTCCCCGTCCAGTTCCTGCAGGTAATAAACTACCTGTCCGTGTACTCCCAAATCCGCATCATTTGCCTCGACCGTTGTCAAAATACCCGGCCCAGAATCTTCTCGTATTGTCAAAGACGTTGGATGTGATCGAAAGATTGGCACGTTGTCGTTAACATCTTCTACCAGCAGCAATAAACTTTGCGTGAGGAAATTTCCCTCGCCGAGCCTTCCGTCCGTCAAAGTCAATACCAACGCGTACTCGTCCCTGGCCTGAGAAAATCGGATCGATTATTCGTAAATACTTTTTCTATCGACGACAAATTTATTTCCCATTCGGTTATTATGTCAGTAATCATTACAAAAGTCTGGTACTACTGTGACCAAAAATGATCTTTAAGGTCTTGTCACTTTGTTCAAACTAATCTTGGTGTTCCCTTTTTTTTATTACAGTATTATATACATATGTGTGTTACTGAAAGGAGTAGCACAAATAAACGAGTGGTCAAAATTTTTTGAATGAAATTATTTCGAAGGAATGTTTGGAATAATATTTATGAATATTGGAAAACCTCAATTATTGCAATAATCGAGGTTCTACTGCACCACCGTGCAGATGTCAATATCAAAATTGATTTGACATATGAATCTCTGTTATTTTAAGAGTTTGTACACAATCAGGAGTTGAAGCCAGAGGGTAATTTCTGATAATTTAAAATTATACTACATTCTGTGATCGAAAGAAGACGAACCGTACAATCTGTCGATTAATGAATCTTTACAAGTAAAGTAAGTCAACGTTTAAAAGAAATGAGTTAAGATGATGGTACGATTAGAAAATCTAGGTTGCGTGCATGGAACTATCGTCGCTCAGGAAATCGTATCGTCGTTTCGATTTTATAAAACCATACCAATAATCTTTGTCACGATACACGAAGCATCAAACTAGTAATTTTGAGGCACGGTGTATCCTTTAACAGGAAATTAACTTCGATGTTAACGGTCACGTAAAGGAGATGATGATGACAAAATAATGACTTCCACGAATAGATCCACCCCAGATCACTATTTGCATGCTTCTCTTGCTCGGTTACACGTCCCTGAGTTTCTCTTCAATACGTTCGACACTGTTGTTACCATGATCGAACGCTCTTTGCGTAGAAGATTTTTCGAAAATCGGTGACCACTCGTGCGAGATGTAAAAGAAACACAATACCGGAGAAATAAACCGTAGAAATTATTTTCTTCTCCCGGGTCTCGTGTAAAACAAGTCAAGGTAAAAGCTGCTTTCTGGCTTTTCTTACGATTTAATGAAATGCACCGCCGACCACTTTTCTGTTTAAGGCATATCATCGGTTGTCTTAACTTGCTTTTAATTATAATTACTATTGCACAAAGGAATGCAGCATTGTTTGAAGAAACAATGGCACGTTTTTTTCTACGTACGAGCGTTTCTTCAGAAACGTGATTATTCAGGAATTAAAAGAAATACGATGGATATGGAAATTACAATTAACGTGTACTTAAGCATTATGGTATGTTGTAACCGTTGAATACATTTAGAACAATACTAATGGTACTGATTCAAACGTTAGCTATTAATGAAAACATTATCTACGGAGTCTATTTGTATGTAAAATTTTCAACCTTCGTGACCCATTTTCTCAAGCAATTTGCTTTTATTCTTTTGGTTGTGCTTAAAATTGTATAGAATCATCCTTTCGTTAAAGGACAAATAAGTATATTATTCCGTTTAAAAAGTGCCGATGATGTTTGAGCATCCTTGAAACTTTCACTTAGGACGGAAGAAACACAGAAGAACGTTTCGAGTGCCTTTCCCTGTACAAAATACGCAAGTTTTTCCCCCCATTGTCAAATTATAGAGTAAAGAAACGAAACATTCAGAGTACCATTTGAAGCAATTTCGCGAGATTGGTATCGCGGGCGGTCAAGCGGGACCATTGCAACGAAACAGATCATCCATCTTTAGGAGGACTTACCTCTCTGTCCAGCAATTTGTTCAGGTAAATATTGGCCTCGTTTGAACTGAATTTCTCGACCCGAATCACGTCGCTGCCAGGTTGATCTCTAACACCGAACGTCAGGCTGTCACCGTCAGGATCGACGCCACGAAGCCTGTAAATTAAACTGCCTGCAACAGAAACCAGTCGGCACGAATGGCAACGCGATGCGTCAGCGAATAAAGGGCGTAATTAATTAAAATGCGCAGAAACGTTGATTAGACTGTTTACAAGTATGGAAACTAGAGGTACGTTCACGTGTACGTGGAAGATGAAAGGCTTTAAGGGCTTTTTAGGTCAATACTTAGATTATTGGGAATTTTTTTACCTCAAACTCCTAAACATATAAAGTTAAACTTTTGTCACAGTTATTTGTTTTCCCTTTCATAGGACGAACATGAATTTTTCAAGTTCTTTTCTTATCTATTATTAATAATGTAACGAGTTGAATGTTATTGTCATGGATGACTAAAATTTAGAAGCAAACTTTATAAGAGAAAATCATGAAATCTTGCTTGTTAAAGCATGAGATTCACGCTTCGATCGTCGAAATGCCCTTAAAATTAATATAAAATTGAATAGAAACGGTTGGTTAGAACATGAAAAGAACCAATGCTTGAACGAGTAACATTTCATGCTTAGCCTCTTTAATATTCTAGAGAGAAATTAAGATTAGTCCTGGGTTAAGAGAAACGTAGGTAAAATTGATTTTTACCCTTCTAAGAGAAAGTCACAAGCTCCGCCATCAATCAAGACTTCGTCTTCTTCGGGTTGATACCTTGATTGGTATCTAAGCTGATAACTTTCTCTTAGAAGGATAAGAATCAATTTGACCCAGTGTACCGTAATTAAGAAGAGTATGGACGTGATATAGTCTTTTTTTGCTTACTCGTAGACCTTTTACAAATGTTGTATCAATTTTCTAATCTGATACAACTTAGATTTCCACTTGCAACTGATCTTCCTTGCACCCTGCAATATCAGCCTGTCTCATACTTTGAGCAACCTAAACTTAAACTTGTTCAAGCAAGGAACATTTGACAAACGTCGTCTAATAACAAAAGAATTTAAACGTTTTGTGATTTCTTGAGTTCCTCGACTCAAGATGTTTGGGGATGCGTTGAATCCCATTTATAAATGCAGGATCTTACATGAAGCCCATTGTTTTCCATAGAACAAGGAAATGCCAAGGAATTTTACAACGTTTGATGACATTCCTCGCTAAACTTTTGATAACGTCTTAACTCCAAATTCCCAAGAATAAACTTTAGCTAATTCTTCGTACAATATTCCCACTAGATCATTGTGGAGGTAAAGTTATGACCACGTTACAACTCGGGAATTATCTTTCTTTTAATAAATTGTCAGTATATCTCTCCTAATCGCGAATTCTTAAGGGGCCATTCTACCTTATAGGCACGAAAAATACATGTTTCTTTGTGATTTTTTTTTGCGGGCTATTAAAGAGCGATTAATTCCGTGTTTTGTAGATACATTTATTATATATTATATTATATTTAGCTATATTTACGAATTTTTGCAGCGCATAATACCTATTGATTACGCTGTTTTTGTTGATCAACAAACAACAGTTTTTACGAACGGCGCCCGATTGCGTATGTGATATCTTGCGAACAAGTTATCCGAAATCCAAAAACCAACGATATTCTTAATGTAGATGAGTGTGGTTATAGCATGAACTAGGACCTTTTCAAGAAAAACAAAAAATGGCAAAATGGCAAAATGGCAAAAAATACTGAATATTTTCATATATTCGGTTACTTTTTTGTTAATAAAAGAAAAAGTATTGCATATATCGCAATTATCCGAGTTCATGCTATAGGGAGACAAGTTCTAAAGATACTGTATAAATTTCATGTTGATATCTTGACTAGTATTTTCGTTATCACATACACAGTGCCGAAAAATGTAGTTTCGAGAAAAAACAGTTTTAAAGTTTCATATCCAGTTGTTATATTTGCGCGCTGTACATTTCAACAGGCTATAACTTCGTTAGTTTTTCAAATTTCAATTTAATATTTGGTAGATATATTTTCGAGACTACATACTAAAAGATAATGCAAAAAAGGATTTTTTAAATCCCACAAAGTAGAAAGGCCCTTTAAATCCTGACGAACAGTGGTTGCAATGGTATGTCGTGAAATATGTCTTTCTTATTGATCGTAGATTGTTCCGTCCGGTCAGCTCGGGGTTTTCCGCTCGTTTATGGTGCCAGATGCGGAACCTTGACTTTGTCGAAAAAGTCTTCGAACATTCCGCATCTGGCAAATTTCATCGTAAAGCATTCAAGCGCTTTAGCTTTTCGAAAGTGCAAGGCCCGAGTTGACCGACGAAGGGCTGCATTGTTCCGCGGGTGGCACGGTCCTCTACAACGACCGTCGCCAACTCATGGAACAATGCAGCCATAAAACGTCTGCAACGCACGTGTAGCTAGGCGTAATTCGGAGCCCCGTTTTTTCCTCGGCAAAATTAACGGGGCCTTCGACTTGGGGAGGAAACCTCGGTCACCCTCGTTCAGGGTGAGATGGGACTCTTCCTCCTCCACGATCGCGCGAGGGAGGAGTTTCCTGGCCAACGGGGCAGGAAAATCGATCCTCCTCCCCCAAGTCGATGGCCAATCGATAAACGGAAAAAGTCAACGCGAATCGGTTGACGAACCCCCAAAATCGCGTCACGGAGGGGGTTCGAGCCGAAGAGGAAACGGGCTCCGGACACTTCGACACTCGTCGCTGAAACCTCAGACAACAACGATCGAAATCTTTAACTCGTCGCTGAAACCTCAGAGTAAACGTTCCAAAATCTGCAGTTCCATCGTTTCGGGAACACTCGTCATTCGATCTTCGAAGAAATCGCAGCTTAGAAAGTTCAATCGTCTCGTGAACCATTCGTTGTTCGAAAATCATTTCGCGAAACATGAATCGTACCGTCGCGTCGCGGCGGTACTAGCCAGGTAGTCGCGTGAGTTTTCTTTTAAACTCTGAGGGGTTGTAAGGCCCTCTTAACCTTCGTGGTACGCGGGCTCCTAGCCGTCGCTCGCCAAATTAATCTTGAGCGACTATTGAATTGCCGGATTGTTTCGAATGTTCTCTTTGATGTCGAATCACGAGTTGTTGCTCACGAACCGCTTGAGCTGAGTTTCGCGAAATGATCTTTGAACAACGAATGGTTCACGAGACGATTGAACTTTCTAAGCTGCGATTTCTTCGAAGATCGAATGACGAGTGTTCCCGAAACGATGGAACTGCAGATTTTGGAACGTTTACTCTGAGATTTCAGCGACGAGTTAAAGATTTCGATCGTTGTTGTCTGAGGTTTCAGCGACGAGTGTCGAAGTGTCCGGAGCCCGTTTCCTCCTCGGCTCGAACCCCCTCCGAGATGCGATTTTGGGGGTTCGTCAACCGATTCGCGTTGACTTTTTCCGTTTATCGATTGGCCATCGACTTGGGGGAGGAGGATCGACTTTCCTGCCCCGTTGGCCAGGAAACTTCTCCCTCGCGCGATCGTGGAGGAGGAAGAGTCCCATCTCACCCTGGACGAGGGTGACCGAGGTTTCCTCCCCAAGTCGAAGGCCCCGTTAATTTTGCCGAGGAAAAAACGGGACTCCGAATTACGCCTAGCTACACGTGCGTTGCAGACGTTTTATGGCTGCATTGTTCCATGAGTTGGCGACGGTCGTTGTAGAGGACCGTGCCACCCGCGGAACAATGCAGCCCTTCGTCGGTCAACTCGGGCCTTGCACTTTCGAAAAGCTAAAGCGCTTGAATGCTTTACGATGAAATTTGCCAGATGCGGAATGTTCGAAGACTTTTTCGACAAAGTCAAGGTTCCGCATCTGGCACCATAAACGAGCGGAAAAACCCGAGCTGACCGGACGGAACATAGATGATTTCTTGATATTATTTGTTCTTTGGAATTTTAATAATAACGTTCACGAATTGTTAAAAAAGATCTCGCGGGCAGTAGTGGACTTTCGTTCTGCAAACTATTATAATATTTACTTCATACTGACAGCATTACCAAAGTTGTGCATTTAAGTTAACGAACAGCAGAATGTTTTGAATTTTATTCATAAAATTTATGAGAAGACTATATACTCTTAGGATAACTCAGAAGTAGCTGCAATTAATAATTAAAAAGTTCGTGCCTACCGCAAATTAATTGAAGTTTATAATTAAAAGAACTTGTTGCACGTAAGGAGAAAATTTGTCTTTTCCTCTTTTATTTCAGACTTGATCTTTTATACAAATGCGTTGAATAATTTAAACGTTTCATCTAATAATTTCCTTATCGTATCTTTAACTCGAAACACATAATTAATTCGTAAACTAATTACATTACATCGATCCAGGTCAGATCTAGAAAATAATGCCAACGCAACATTTATGAACGTTCCAATTCTAAATTATCTCACGTTGTTAATTTTATACTTGTTGCGTGTGTTCGTTGCAACATTTGTTCCTCAACTAACCGAGAACGATAAATATCGTTCACCGCTTCTCTAACGTTTCTCGAAGTATGATATATCAAATTTAGTAACTTACGGCTTTCGATTGCAACTAAATGCACATTATTTCTCCAATTTTTTTGCTAGTCTGTATGGTTTACAATCTATACAAAATATTAAGCAATGAATTTTGGAGAAGTAACAGTTACATTTTATTAATAAATTTAACTCACATTTACAAATTATGAATTACGTTCAATTAGTACCTATGAGAAATATGTTCTTGAAAAAATAGAAGTTGTCCAAGATGTTCATATTGTATAAAATAACGATAAAGATCGTCCAAATATATGTATATGTTATAAGGAAAGAATCAATTAAATGTAATTCATATCTTCTATCTCATGATTATTAATAAACTGTAATTCACACTTTTAGAAACTGTATTGTTTAACATTTTCCCGTAGATTGTTGGATATGTGTAACGAAAAAGAGAATGTGGGACAAAAAGTTACGTGTTGTTCGTGCGAGATTTGATATGATGATTCCATTTCAGATTGGAATTTATATTAACATTCTGTGGTTACATTGTTTTTTGAGTTAAACGGATCGCAAACATCGCTCGATAATGCACTTTGTAGTTTGAAAAATAAAAAGTTGGGGAACAAAAGCGTGATGCATTCTAAAAGAAAACTAATAATTATTTTTCAGCATCGAAAACCAATCATTATTGTACCGAGTGTAATATACGTTCGTGTTTGGAAAGTTGTTTCGAATTATCTCGGAAGAAAGCAAACTAAATTTAATTTTATGTAATATTTGGCGAGTGTAAAATCTCACGTTAACGTATGGTACAATAAAATGACGAGAAAGTGCTTAAAATAACTTCATATATATTCATTAATAATTTCACTTGTGTATAAGTTTTTCCTTTGCGTTGAAAATCTGCTTTCATGACCGGTTTTTAGAGGAAATAAATACCATTTGAAACTAATATTTTGTTGATTTGTTAATAAAGATATCGGTATTCTATTAGAGCCAGTTGGATTAGTTAGTTTGACTGTATGATAAATTAACATTTTTCATTCAATGAATTTTTTTACTGTTCAATTAATCGATGATAGAAAAAGCATTCTTGTTGAAATAATTTTACAATTTATTTTTTAATAATGATGCTTGTAGGCATACGTAAAAATTGAATAAACGACTAACAAGGGTCACAAAATTGATGTACTCTCGTATGTTTTATTCTTACCGACTGGTGTCTCAGGGCCTTCCTTCAACCTGAGAATAATTTCCGTTTGGCCGTCGATGAGAAAACGTGGTGGATTGTTTCTGGCCGAGCAGCTTGTCAGAAGACAGATAAATACGAATGCAAGCCATTCAGACTTAAATCTGCGCCTCTTATAAGATCGTAACAGCCACGAAAACGTGATGATTGGTTTCGTGGAGGTCATCTTGGTGACAAGCATCCCTTAATTGACATGGTTATTACTATCCCCCACCGAATGGTTGTGTACGATTGAGCGTCCTTGATCCTTGAATGAGAAAGATCGATTAATTGCATACTGTATTCCAAACCCAAAATTATTCTATTTAGTCGAACATAGTTTCTCTTTATACAGAAATAATTGTCTAAATAGGTATAATACTTGTGGACTAAAAAAAAAACCCGTTATGAACGCTCTATTAAATACGTTATAAATTGAATTCATGTCCATGTGATGAAGGAAATTAAAGAAAATTGGTTAAAATTAAGAACTCTCACGTGTATTCAATTAGAAAGTTCTTATTCATTAATAATTATTGTAATCTTGGAGTAATATTAATGAGAATCAACGCCATTTCATACTGAATAAGACAAGTATTATAATCCTTGTGTTAGAAATATCGTAATTTGATTATTAATTAATTTAATGGGATTTGATTACTGGTAATATAAGTTTTAAAATAATTGACAAAAATCTATTTAACTAAAAGAGTATTATTTAAGATAAATTCCTTACAATCCATAACAAAATTAAAATAATAAAACTTAATGTCAATTTCGAAGTTAAATGTTTCTTTAAATAATCATTATGATTATCATATTTCGAGGTGGAAATAATTGATATTTTAAGTATGGATAGAAAATTAATTCTTCCACGATCAATCTATCGAAGGTTCTTAAGATCCAGGAGCACGTATGTATATGAATCGAGTATTTTTTCACGGGGATTTTCATAAGTAAGAGGATTCAAATGAATTATTATGTCTTGCTATGCGGCACTTTCGCACACGTGTCACTTTCACGCTCGTAATAATTCGCTGACGTGTGATTTTTCTCGTCGAGATCGTCTTTGAAGCATTGTAACGAGACCTCGGTCGGGAAGCCCAAAGATAATTAGTCCAACCGTGCAACATTAGAGCCACGTCTTCTCGGAACGCCGTAATTGGCAGCGAGGAGAAAACACGAGGGGAAGATCGGGAACCCAGCCAAAGCGCATTGCACCCCACTGTAAAGGTAACTCGGGCAGAAGGAAAGTACGAATAAACCGGTTACGGAAAGAAAAAGGTTATGGATTTTCTCGCGGCACGCGACCGGATTTCTCCAGAATAGAGAAAATTCGTCCGTGGATCACTAGGGTTTTCTACAGTTACCTTCGTGCGATATAAAGCGTTTTAATTAACGCTCGCGCTATTAACTTTCCCTTCTACTTCACGGAATCACTGTCACGTAATAGTATTCGATTTACATTTTTCACTGGGTTATACGTACGCATATTATTCCTATTGATAGCTTGTATTATGGTTTGAAGCAATCGCTTCTTCTACGAAAGACTATACGACATTCGTTAATTAGCTTCTTGGTTACAATCTTCTTTTAAATATTTTCTCTTGCTATATTTTGAGCGAAAGTGTACAGAGTGGAACAAACATTAAACACCATGTGGCTTTCAATTTTTTTTAAAGTCTGCAAATGAAACCGTCATCATTTTCAGGCTCAATGGACTTTATGAAATTAAAATTTCATGGTTTCTAGTTTTCTGGTGGGCTAAGAGAAATATATATAATTTATGTAGGAATAAGTTATTCAATTGAAACGAATTTAATTACAATTTCGTATAACAGCTTGCCGAATATGAAATTAATTTGATTTAAATTTAATATTTAATTTTAATCCAGTATCTTTAATACTTTGTAATGTTAATCAAGTAAAAACCTTTTCTCATGCAGATTGGGGTCATTTAAATATTAAAAATATATATTACGTAAATTATTCTTGATAATGGTACCCTATTATCGATGGCATACTAATGGGCCAATAATGACTTTAGCATCCCGTTATCACCTCGCTTGGTTTCCTTTTATTCTAATAGTTTTTTTACTTATGAATCGTCTGTTCAATTACGTTAACGTATAATTAATACTAGCACTCGGTGTGAAGTTCATTCAGCTGTAGTAATAAAATACAATTTGTCTCTTAATTGGCAATTTTTCATGTAACGCCAACGTACATCAGTTAATGTTTTTTAATTTTTATCTTAATTAAAGTCAGTAAATGAGAAATTCACAGGCTTTCAAACTGTTAACATCTAATAGTTGGAGTAGAATACATTCAAAAAAAAAATATGGGAATAACGTTAGTATATATAATTATAAGTTACATACAGTAACGTTTTTGAATTTACAAAGTTATAAAATTCAGAAGATAGAACCGAAATAATTATTATTCCTCTTTAAGTAGTTTAATAGTAAAATATCAGGTTTATAAAATTTTTGTAATAGAACTATATTCAAAATTGAGTGCTGGTAATAATTCTGAGAAGAAAACTCCTAAAACTGTAAAAATCTTTTCCCTCAACTTTTAAATAATTTGTGAATGAATACAATGTTATTGTTTCCTTAATATCTTTATATCTCGTAGTAGAAATAAATGTTTGACATTAGAAAGTGCTTTTGTTACGTACAGATTACAGAGCAATTTTCAAAGTAATTTGCTTCACGATCGGTTCAAAACAAACATACATTTGCGTCGCAGTCATAGTAGTTCGACATAAACAGTCAGAAAAAGTTAAACGAATTTGGGTAACGAATTTAAAGAATTCTAATCGAACGAAGTGTCGACGAACGAACACGAAGTGAAAGAAGAATTTCCAGAGGAAATCGTACCTAATGAAAATTCAACGAACACGCAGTCAATGACTCGTGTTATTACGGCTTCTCAGACGACGAGAATTCGTTTTATTTTTCACGCTTGTATTACGGTTATGTGGTATAATACCGACATCGTGGGAAACCAACTATGACTTCCGGCGAGCTTTCACTTTGGTTAATTGTCCTTATGGTCGCCCGTAGCGCTTGGCAATCTTGACATTGAACGAGGAGCACGTCGTGGCAGAGAGAAAGCACCTAGACATCTGTTCTTCAATTGTCAAATTAAACGTAACAGTTACGGAGATAATTGTCACGGGTCAACTTCACTGCTCGAAGAAATTTATTCTCATTTTACGAACAAATTGTTGAGTATTAGTTTCTTCAAACTCAGCGTGTTTAGATCTAACGATAATGATTTGTTTATGGTGAAAATATCTCGTCAATTTTCTTTGCAGGCAGAATACGTAATGTATTACAGCGATCTTTTTCGAGAGTAATATTTATTACAACATACCGTGACATTAATTTCCAAAAAGTAATTATAAATGGTTAATAATGTGGTACTTCAATTTATGGTCTGTAATATATTATTTAAGGGAAATAACTATAAATATCTGAAAAGGTTCGATTGGACTAAAATAGATTTCTTCTCCAAACACTATGACATAACGTTACTAGCGATTATTTTACTTGCAGCCTCGACGAAATTACTTTCATTTGTGACGCAAAAGATTATACAGAAGAGCATGGGAAACAAAGTTACTACTATTGTTTCATTTGTAATGTAAGTAAAAGCGAAACTTGTGTTCAGAACTTTCTGATATACTATAACGTAAATTTAGATCCACCATGAAAGCTATAGTGAAGTTTCGCACGAGTGAAATTCTTTAAACAGTCATTTTGCAACGAACGCAATTACAGATTATTGTTTCGTTTCTTGCGTTTCCGATCATCTCAACTACCGTTGATGTTTTCTGCGATCGCGAACGATCAACCGCAGACAGCTCTACTTCACATCATGCATTGTTATGTTCATTGGACCAGGAATGAAACTGATTTCGTTAAAATTGCAATCTGAATAATCGAGAATGAAGAAACACGGTATTTTGCAATTTATGGAAACGAGTTAAATGTATACGCAGAGTCGAGGGATTTATACATTTGTTAACGAAACGACTATCTGGAGAAAGGAAGGCATTTGCAAAAGCAATTTCATTATACATTTTCGATTTATTTTCTCCGGGATAATCAGTTCCAATTGAGTTGTAACGCGTAATTTATAACATCCTGTGTAATTGATTGGTTTGTTATCCGAGTAATTAGTAGCGCTACAGGCTATTGAAGAATAACAGTTTTAAATTCTTCGAATCACGAAAAGCATTATTCATTTTTCTGATAATAGTACCTGACCGTAGGAAACTGCACCGACATCATTAAAGCCTTGTTCGCCGGCTTCTTCTCGGTGGTTATTCATTCTCGCTCTTTGTAGACAAGAGCATCCGGCCGTGGTCAGTGGTCTGCAAGGCCGATGCCCGGAAACCAGATAGTTAAGCGAGATTACAAAACATCATTAATTCAATCTTCAAGAGCATCTAGATTACGGAAGAAGTCGTGACCGAGATGACCAGCTCTTTTTTCAAATTACAGTTCACAGTCGACCACCTTTCTTGTTGCAAACGCTATCGTGCGATAATTACATCTAAGGGAGCGTAGACAGAGAACAATAAACGAATAACGATATCGACGCGTACCGATTTATTCGATCGAACAGTTGAATTTTTATTTTCGTTTTAATTCGTTCATAATTCACTATTTTATCTTCTGTCTCTGATAGAGTTATTTGTTTCATGATTGTACATCTGGAATAGTAGTATAAACGTCATTTTGGAAATACTAACGCTTCACTTTCTAGATTATAAAAATATTAAGATTCGAATTAAAAAGAGAATTAAAGTTACAGTACAGCTTTCCCAGAAGAGATCTTTCTATGGGTAAGAAAATTAACTGTTATAGTTGTCAAACGTTCACTGTTCGTATAAATCTCGCTTTCTGTAGTACCTAATTTAAATTCTGTGTCAAGGTCACCGTAGGCTTAATTCTACATGGTAAAAAGTCGTTGCAAGCAAGCGTGTGGCAACAACGAAGTGTCACCGAACTATGCAACAAACGATTAAGGTAATAGTAGGTTTGAATGCACGTGTGGAGATGTTTCTTTCGGATACTACGACACTTTGGAAACACTTGGAGTTGTATGCCCAGTGGTGTTCTTCTTGCCAACAGAGTGTGTCGGCCACGCTCTTGACTTTTAAGTCTGTTAAAG